ATGGGGTCACTGCAATGCTATACAGACAGTCCTCACTTGATGGCCACTTGTTAAAAGACTTTTCTAAGTTATGAAAGCACTGAATGAGGAAACAACCTTATTGTGGCCATCACAGCATTCCTGCAGTCATTTGATTATAATGTGGGCTTGTCAACTACCTCACAATTACAACAACTGCTACATCCTGCAGTCACGTGATTGCCATTTGTAACCTTCACTGCTGGCTTCCAATAAGCAAAGTCAGTGGGGAAGCCTGCAGGAGATAGTAAATGGTGATCACATAAGATCCCAGTTTAATGGCTGCAAGGGATTCTCTTAATAGAGGCAACCGGAACTGCCTCAAACTGCTGTCGTAAGTTGGTGTGGTCACATCTCATCATGCTTTATGACCATGTCACTTAACAATGGAATTGCTGGTTCCAAGTATTGTTGTTAAGCAAGGATTACCTTTACAGCCCCCTGCCCGCCCCCCCAATCAATCAGACTCTAAAGTCAATGGTATTAAAATCTCTTTGAGATTATACAATGAATCAACTGGATCACACATCCTCTCTCTCTTCCCCAACAATGGTCTTCTTACAAGGAAACCATGGTGATTTTTTGCAACAGAATCAGATAAAAATCTTGAATGAAAACCAGGTTCACTCCAGAATGCCTCAAGTGCTTTATCACAATGCTGTATGTAAAGTCAGTGCTTGTCAGTTGTTTTATATGCTCTCCCACTTAGATCTGCAACCACAAGAATTGGTGGGAGACAAATAGCAGTTTCTTTGAACTTTAGGTATCTCCCCCTCCAGGTTTCTAAACAAGAGAAACTAATGTGCTTTGGGCAAAAAAAAAAAAGAACAAGAAAAAAGATGATAAGGGAAGGGACTATAATTCTGCAGCTAAATGTATTCAGCAAGTTTCAAGAATGACTGTCTGAACAACTTCCACATGCTTTCAGTTGAAATTCTGGCTTTGTTTAATAGCAGAAACTTGTTTTGGTCACTGCAGATAATCACCAATATTGGGAGAGAGATTGGGAAAATATAATTTTGTTCATTTTCTTAAGAATTTTAGAGGCATTTTCTAAGAGTCTTAGGGACATTCCCTAAAAGACATTATAACTGATAATGTTTATCTTTCTTAATTTGGGTTTGGTTTTTTTTACACAACTCAATCCTATCCCTGTATCATTTAACATTTATCTGAACTAATTGCATGGAATGATCTACAGTTATTGAAATCAGTAACATCTGTTTTCTAAGCACACTAAGCTCAATTTTCCCTTTTCATTTCATCCAGGATGGACAGAAATTTCCTGTGTCTGAAATTTTTATTTTATTTATTATGAAATTTATTTGCCACCCATCTTATATCCAACGATTCAGAATTGAAATCAGAGATGAATGTATTTTAAAAATTGAACTTAAACCTCAAGTCCATAGTGGAGATTCAATAAGCTAGCAAGAAAAATGCCTGCCCTAGAGAGAGATATAGTTCACAACTATTCTTGGCAACTTGCATAGTCATGCTTAAGTGACTTTCCAGTTCAATTATTTCTACATTATAACATGTTTCAGTAACTTCAGTTATTATAGAATTGAAATGTCGAAGTGCTAATGACATACAGTGATACTACAATGTTACAACTATTTTAAGAAACTGTAATGGCTATCAGTTTGTTTGTAGACTCAAAAGTATTAGCATGGAACTTCAAACCACAAATAATCTGAACCCTTCACATGTCAAAAAGCAGCTGATAACAATAATAGACCTGGGTTAGATGAAACTAGCTAATAGATATGATGTACTAGCAGGAAAATTGGTTCATATACAGGTAATCCTTGACTTACAACAATTTGTTTAGTGATGGTTCGAATGACACTGAAAAAAAATTATCATTTTTCACACTTACAACCACTGCAGTATCCCCATGGTCATGTGATCAAAATTCGGTCACTTGGCAACATATTTATGACTCTTGCAGCGTCCTGTGGTCATGGGCAAAGTCAACAGGGAAGCCAGATTTGCTTAACAACCATGTTAATAATGTAACAATTATAATGATTCACTTAACAACTGTGAAAGGTTGTAAAATGGGACAAAATTCACTTAACAAATGTCTCACTTAACAACAGAAATTTTGGATTCAATTGTGGTCTTAGTCGGTGAATATCTGTATTTAAAAGCAATTTCATCATGACTCTGCTATCTTCTTCTGCCATCAGCTGTCCCCAGTACATTTCTTGGACCAAATCGTATTGTTCCCTTACAGAAAGGACACATTGAGAATTATGGGAGTGGATATCCAGTATTTCTAAAGAGCATCAGACTGGTCTTAGCTGACAGAGTCATTCTGTTCGCTTTCTTTCCTCCCACATTTTAAGATCTCTATAGTGAAGCAGCAATATTGTCTTTCTCTCTCTCTCTCTCTCTCTCTCTTACAAAGATATTTAAGGAAGATGGGGAACCTGTTTTATGCTCTGCATTTTATTCACAGTGTTCTGGTTGCTCACTATAACAAGGGTCAAGAGATAAGGGAAATACTTCCATGGATCTGGCATTTAAAATGCCAAAGGCTAAAGGGCTGGAACAGGAGATCACTCACTTGTGTCCCATGCTTTCGGGCATGGTGATGATCTCGGGGGCATCGAAGAACTCATTATCATCATCTTCATCACTCATGTCGCCCTTTGACGAACAACACTGATCTGTAGAAAATTACATACCAACGTCACTTTTTATGAATTGAATTATCTGGGATTCTAGAACTTCAGCAGACGGGAGGAAGAGTTTGGCTTTTACCTTTCGAGGAATCCATGTTGCCAGGTGCATTGGCGGGTAGGACTGTAGCTCCACGGAAAGCTCTTTCCAGGTGATTGTGTTGCTTAGCCAGCTGTTCTAGTGTCTCCTCCAACCGGATACGCTGGTCACGCTCATACTGTAGAGATTTCTGCCATTTCTTGCTATGTGTCTGGGCCAGCATTAGGAAGTCTCGACAAGCCTGAATGGAAGATGATATGGTAAAATCATTATGCTGCTTTCAATATCATTCTCCCAAGGTGAAAACCCCTATTTTTCTGAGTATAAGACGCACCTTTCCCCCCCCCAAAAGGGAGTGAAAATTTAGGTGCGTCTTATACACCGAATGTAGCCCCACCTACCCACTGGCCTCCACCCTTTGGCCTCTGCCTCCCAGCAGTTTACCTCCTTGCAGCAAGCAGCAAGAAGAAACAGCTCGTTTCAGCTTCAGCACAGCCTAATTAGCACAAGTTGATTGGATCGGCCTCCCGACTCTCAGCTATTTTGCTCTCAGCTGTTTGCTTGCTGCCTCTTGAAAAAAGCAGCTTTGGGACTTGAACAGTTACACTCAAATATGCACAGCTAGAATCATTTGGTTATCAAAATTCCAATCAAAATATTTTACATGGCTTAATATGTTATTAAGCACAAGAAGACTAACATCGATAGAAAGGGACAAAGAAATACAAAAGGTAAGGAGAACCCACCAGATAATATTCTATATTCAGAAACTTTAACAGACAATTTCTATTATGCACCTTAGAAAAGTATTTTAATTTTGTACTCATGAATGTGAAATACGTAGATTAAAAAGTTTCTTAAAAATAACCACTGGAGTATTTATCTAGTTGAAAAAAGTATTCTGGATATCTGAGAATGGAGTTGCCAATGTACACAATTTTAAATATCCAGAGTCTACAATACAGTTGTATACAATTATGTTTGGAATAGAGAAAAAGGATAGAAACATTATTTCTCGCACACCCACGATACTAAAATCATCTGATGAAATTGAGTCACGAGAAATTCAAGACAGATAAAAGCACTTCTTCATACAGTACAAATTTAAACGATGAAATTTACGACCATAAAAACTAGTGATGACAACCAAAGTGGGTAGATTTAAAACAGAATTAGACAAACCCAGAGAACTTGGTTCTTAAAGGTTGATATACGCTATTACTACATTCATTTTGGGAGCATCGAAGTGCTTCTGGGTTGAAAGGACTGAATGGTGGCACCACTATGGCCTGGGGGATGCCCAGTTGGGGGCTCCTTTCATGTCTTCATTAAGTTGCCCACCAAAGTGGTACCCATCTACCCATTCGTGGTCGCCTGCTTTCAAACTGCTAGGTTGAGAGGAGCTGGAGCATCTGACTGGAGCTCAACCAGTCCTGCAGCAGCAATCGGGTCTTGAATGCGACTCTACCGAACATCAGTCCAGCATCCTAATCTCGTGAGCCACCGTGCTCCTTTTAGGTTGATGTATGATAGCTACACATTACCTAGACCCGTTTAATCTAGTGGTTAAGGCACTACACTAGAAACTGGGAGACTGTGAGTTCTAATCCTACCATAGAAATTAAATTCGGCTGTGTGATTCTGGGACAATCATTCTCAACGTATTTCTCAGGGTAGTTGTTGTTGTAGGGAAAATAGGAATTTTAGGCATGTTTGCTCCCCCTTGAATTATTTGTAAAAACAATAAGGGCGGGATATGGACAAACAAACAAATAATGAGGCAGTAAGGTTCATAATTCCAGGTGGAGTGGAAGGATGGGGTGGGGAAATGAAGGAAAGGACTACTGAGCTCATGTCTTGCTTGCAGGCTTCTCACAGAAATCTGACTATTAGAGCAATAGGACTTTGGATGAGTGACCCAGCAGCACTCGTCTTTAAAATCTCAATAATAGAAGCATACGTGGATGCCTTATTAATTTCTGTGAAAAGAAAGATGTAGCTTCCAAGATATATTGGTCTAAACACATACCAGGACAGTTCTCACCTTTTTATCTTCACATTTTGAATCCACTTTGAGATTTTTCTGCATATCTGAGGCCAACTACAACATTCCTAAAGGGCTGATTTTCATTGAAGCTATTTTTGATGCATAAAACCATTTTGAAGTGAAAACACCCATTGTAAGAATATTGTGATGTCACTCTTCCTTCAAAGATCAGAATTCCAGTCCAAGGCACTTGGTAGCCACAGGCAACAAGGAATTCCATACAGGCCCATGAATGGCCTTGCAGAAGAGATATGCATATCACTCAGTCCATCTGCCTAGAAGATGAGGGTAGGGGAAGCCTTTGATCTCCTCAATGAAATCCCAGGCTGAATACAACTGATTATGTGCCATCAAGTTGTTGTCAGCTCTTTAACAATTTTCTCCATGATGACCTATCTCTAATCTAGTCATTCAGCATTTCCAATGGTGCACTCATCACTATTGTAATTATTATCTTCTTAATCAGAAAAGTAAATAGTTATGCAAGCGGGTAAGATTTTTTTAATCTATGTACTATGCAACAACAGAAGGTTAGCCTGGAAGATTTAATTATGGCACCTTCTACTGACTAAAAATAATATCAAAAATTATACCTATTTGATCAGGAAGAAAACTCAGCTGTTTAAGATTTTTTTTAAATTACAGGTTCCTTTATTCAGATATATAAATCAGAATGCTGGTTTTACAGGCATATATTCAACCTCCCACTTTTAAATATATCTCCTCTGCACAAATTGTTTTTCTCAAGGTAGTTTCTCAAAGAGTTACAACAGCACTATGAAGTGCTGAGGTTACCAACTCAGCTGGAACCATAAAACTGCTTTTCAGACATTAATGGGGGTTTGTTTAGCTCAACTTGTTATTTATATTTCCTTTAAGATAAGGGCGATTGCTGCATGATGAACCCTGCCCAGAAATTTATCCCACTGTGTTCAGTGAAGCCAAGCCTCTCCAAGATTCTGTTGACTCTGCCGTTTCTTAACCTCCCCATCCTCCTTCAATTTTCATGCCCTCATCTGATGGCAACAACCAGGAAACAAAGTGTGCAATTGTGCTGTGAACCCTAATGATAAAGGTCACCAAATCTCAACATTGTGATGTAAGTCTTATCCTAATTTTTCAGAAGATCCTTTCCCCAGTATTAGTTTACTCATCTCTTCTGTTTCTTCCCAGTAGCCAAAAAAATGAACTTTTTCTTCTGATTGGAATTTGATTTTAATGCCATTTTCACTTGGCCATGGGGTGGCCCCACACTGAACCGCAAACATATGGCTATTACAGGGAATTCAAAACAAGCAGTTATTATGTGTGTACACCAACTCTCTGTCATCCCATTCCCCAGTGTAGGAAGTTAGCACCCACCCCTCTCCTGGAAGAGTGAAATATTTTAGGAAATATGAAAAAGGCAGAATATTATATTTCCCTGGGATAAGCATGTTTTGAAGCAGCTCCCATCTTCCTGCCCCCCCACCCTTTGTCAATGGGCCATTAAGGCTTGGGTCAGTCTATTCTACATAACAAAGATCTACCTCCTTCAGGCAGAGCCATAGTAGGAATTGCGAAAGATAGGATTAGCCCTCTACACAATAGCAACAGAAACTAACACAATGGGACCCATCTAGACGAGGCTCACCACATGGCACCTGGGAAGATTGCATCAGCCAGCAAGACCCCCACCCCCTGGGAGTCTGACAACCAATCAGGATACTCTTTTGGGGCCCCAAGAAATGCAGAGCCAGAGAGAGCATAAAAACCCGAGGATTTACTGTATCTGCCCTTTTCTGTTCAGGAACTCAAGCCATGTGATCCTGTCCACCATTAAACCATCTTTCCAAGCAGTCTCCATGTTTCCAGTGTCTGTTTTCCCCACTTGGAGCAGAACCTAGAAGGATGTTTCTTCCAACACCAGCTAAAGGCATTTACCAATCTACCCAAAGCCGAGGCAACTAAAAACCCAAAAGAGTAATGAAAAGAAAATGTCACTGTGGTGCTCTAACCTGAATATAAGATTATTAACTAGCCAGAGCATTTAAATGAGCTAGAGCACACCCGATGGCTTTCTCTTCGTTGCACAGGCAAAAAAAACCCCCCGAAACCACTTACATTAATCATGGCATTGGAAGTGATGCGGAAGAGTGTGGCACGCTCGTTGATTTGTTTGATCTTCTCATTGCTCTCAGCTGGTAGCTTCAGAGTCTCCAATTCACTGAGTGAGCGCTGCAGAGCTGTTCCATGTTTGGCAATCAGATCATTACATGTGCTGAGATCCTCCACCTTGCTGGAGAGGGTGCGCAAAGTATTCTGTAGTTCTGTCTTGTCCGTTTGGGATACAGATTCTTCATCACCTGACTCATCTGTGAGGAATAAACTGAAAATGTAGTACCACAGGAGCCTATTTCTAAACCAGGAACATCTGGCCGTTGCCTTTACAAGAGCATGTGGAAGTGGTCACATACAAAAGGGGACAAACTTTCCAACCAACTCTGTACAGATACTTAACATGATAGGGAAAAATATACCTTACCCATGTAAGCAAAATAATGTCTATACCCTCAATAAACAAGCAAAGCAATTTAAGGCAAGAATGATAAAAATAAGAAGAAGCAATGACAGACCAGTAAAACAATAATAACACAAAAGTAGCAACCATAGAGACAAAGGTGTTCAAAAAGGAAGTTCAGGAAGTTCTACGCTGCAAAGGAGCAAGGATCCTTGAGTAAAGAGACACCTTTGAATATCAAATGCTGGACATAAGTTCCAGATAAAGAATGTTACTTCTGTGCTCTAGTTATGACTTCAAGAGTATATGGCCAGAGTCTGTTCAAAGACAGAAGGGTGGATTAGTTGGACCTTTGATTGTTTTTCTTAAGCTCTTTTTTAAAAAACACACCCCAGATCTCTTTAAAATAAAAAGTTGCATCACTCTTCCTCATCCTTCTCCACAAACAGTGAGTCACAAACCAGAATGACAGTGAACTGTGAACACAAATATTTAAGAGTAAAACACAGACACAGCATGAAAATCAATAGTACAGTACTGTGTTTGGCAAGATTTTAAATACTGTATATTACTCTCTAACCCAAGGTAATGGTCAGAAGAATTTGGAAGGTCAAGGAGTTCCAGGACGGACCAGCTTGCAATCTACTACATTTTTAAATTAAGTACAATAAGCTGTACACTTAATGGTCCTATTATTGCCTTTACCTTAGACTACATGGAAAAATAAATAGTGGACTGAAAATTCAACAGAGCTAAAGTAAAGCTAATATTGGCAACCTTCAAGGCGAACTCAAAAGATATTACAGGGCAGATGGCATTTTGCTTTGAAAGCACTGAAAATGTTGTTCCAGGAAAATCTGCCAAATACCTTGTTAGTTTCCAGAGCCAAATTCTTAATACTCCATGAAAATTTGGGGGGGCGGGGGGGAGACGACGATGACACACCATACAGGAGCTAGTGGCACATTTTTCATGTGTTTTCTCTTTCACTAATAGTAAATAAGTACAAAATTACAAAACTAAAGGCAAGTCAGTAAAGAATGCACCCAGCGCATTCCAAGAAAGGAACAAAAGTATTTTCGGAAATAGCAACATTTATATCTAGCACAATCATATAAGGAACTGAGGATCTAAACCACAACTTCTTAGTCACAAAGTTTTCTTCTACAGGTGAAACTAGAAAAATTAGAATATCGTGCAAAAGTTCATTTATTTCAGTAATGCAACTTAAAAGGTGAAACTAATATATGAGATAGACTCATTACATGCAAAGCGAGATAGTTCAAGCCTTGATTTGTCATAATTTTGATGATTATGGCTTACAGCTCATGAAAACCCCAAATTCACAATCTCAGAAAATTAGAATATTACATGAAATCAATAAAACAAGGATTGTACATAGAACAATATCGGACTTCTGAAAAGTATAAGCATGCATATATACCCAGTACTTGGTTTGGGCCCCTTTTGCATCAATTACTGCCTCAATGTGGCATGGCATGGATGCTATCAGCCTATGGCACTGCTGAGGCGTTATGGAAGACCAGGATGCTTCAATAGCGGCCTTCAGCTCTTCTGCATTGTTCAGTCTCATGTCTCTCATCTTTCTCTTGGCAATGCCCCATAGATTCTCTATGGGGTTCAGGTCAGGCGAATTTGCTGGCCAATCAAGCACAGTAATCCCATGGTCATTGAACCAGGTTTTGGTACTTTTGGCAGTGTGGGCAGGTGCCAAGTCCTGCTGGAAAATGAAGTCAGCATCCCCATAAAGCTTGTCTGCGGAAGGAAGCATGAAGTGCTCCAAAATCTCCTGGTAGACAGCTGCGTTGACCCTGGACTTAATGAAGCACAGTGGACCAACACCAGCAGATGACATGGCTCCCCAAGTCAACACAGACTGTGGAAACTTCACACTGGACTTCAAGCATCTTGCAGTGTGTGCCTCTCCATTCTTCCTCCAGACTCTGGGTCCTTGGTTTCCAAATGAGATGCAAAAATTGCTCTCATCAGAAAAGAGGACTTTGGATCACTGAGCAACAGACCAGTTCTTTTTGTCTTTAGCCCAGGTAAGACGCTTCTGACGTTGTTTGTTGTTCAGGAGCGGCTTGACAAGAGGAATACGATATTTGAAGCCGATGTCCAGGATCTGTCTGTGTGTGGTGGCTCTTGATGCACTGACTCCAGCCTCAGTCCACTCCTTGTGAAAGTCCCCAACACTTTTGAATGGCCTTTTCCTGACAATCCTCTCCAGGCTGCAGTCATCCCTGCTGCTTGTGCACCTTTTTCTTCCACACTTTTCACTTCCACATAACTTTCTACTAATATGCTTTGATACAGCACTTTGGGAACATCCAACTTCTTTTGCAATTACCTTTTGAGGCTTTCCATCCTTATGGAGGGTGTCAATGATGGTTTTCTGCACAACTGTCAGGTCAGCAGTCTTTCCCATGATTGTGATTCCCTACTGAACCAGACTGAGAGACCATTTAAAGGCTCAGGAACCCTTTGCAGGTGTTATGGCTTAATTAGCTGATTAGAGTGGGACACTTTGAGCCTAGAATATGGAACCTTTTCACAATATTCTAATTTTCTGAGATTGTGAATTTGGGGTTTTCATGAGCTGTAAGCCATAATCATCAAAATTATGACACATCAAGGCTTGAACTATCTCGCTTTGCATGTAATGAGTCTATCTCATATATTAGTTTCACCTTTTAAGTTGCATTACTGAAATAAATGAACTTTTGCACGATATTCTAATTTTTCGAGTTTCACCTGTATACTGAAGTAACCATTTGATACTGACATTTGGGTATTTTACCTAATCAGGTATAAAGGACTCGAGGCATTACATGAGCTGAAGAGTCAATTCAATGGTATAGATAGAAAATAAGTCTAACTGGTCCTGTGAAATCTGATGCTTAAAAATAGAAACCTCAATTTTGAGAAGTATAATGTTATATCCATAATAATTCAATGTGGCCAATGGCCTCAGTATGCCCTACACACAATTCAGAGGGCATTGAGCAATTTAATGTTTGGCATAAATTCTTGCTTCAGGGAGCTGGACGCCTGAACAGGACAAACTGGAAGAACATTCATAATTCCCAGCTGAGAATAAAATTAGTTACATATACACACCATATACATGACAGCCATATACAAGATATACATGATATATCTATCTATGTATCCATCTACCCATCCTTGAAACCACAGGAGAAATGAGATATTAAAAATAATGGAGTAGGATGAAAAGGATTTGATCAATCTCAGTTACTTTCCATTGGCAAGAGTCATAATTCATGCAAGTTCAGAGCTACCCATTGCCCTGTTTTTTACATTACTTCTCTTACAATAAGCCTTTTAATATTCCTGCCCCTCCTCCACATCCTGTTCTATGTCTGTTGCTCTTAACTTGTCTTTTACCTGATTCTGCCAGCATTTTAACTGCTTTTGCTTTAGCCAGCTCCAGAGCTGTGACCCAGCGCTGCCGCTCAACCTCTGAGCTGGCCTTCAAGTGGTAGGTCTGTGCCCCTCCATTGGAAATAATGAAATTACAGGAGTCCTCCACAGTGATGTTTGCTGTG